TCGCAAATCTCTCTCCCGGAACTGTCTCCTGGTCTAGGCTCATTCTGAATGGAGTCGGATCCTGTGGCTAAGTAACAGGCAGGCTGCACAATTATAGAGGCCAGAGGCTTATCAAGCCAAAGTGTGAGGACCCACACTTAGCTCTTTATTTTCCAGGTGTGCCAACAATAACTGCTATGATGAGAATCCAGCACAAAGGGCATGGTGCCTCTTCCCAGGGATTCAGAAAAATTTCCTATCTAGAAAAATGTCCAGAAGAAGTTAGAGTTTAATTAGAGGAGAGTCTAGATAATTGGTTGAATGCAAATAAATGCTGAGGTATAGGAGTGCACATCAGGCTGAGAAGGCGGCACTCACTGGTATATGGAGGAGGAAACGTGATGTTAAGTTTTTGAGAAAATAAGTAACTTGTGGAGCAAAAATGTGTGTTAAGAAAAACCAAAGACATGACATTAAGTCCCTAGCTCTAAGTGAGCTGAAGAGAACTCGGGGCAGGACGGGCCTTGGTAGACTACTAGGTGGATTAATTATCTGAAAAGTACTTTGGGCTTTAATGATGCAACTTTTTGGAGGCATTATTCCATCTTCTTGCATTCAGTCCTTCAATTCCAGAGGCCAGCAGGACCGAGGTGACCCACATTCCCGTCTCTCATTTGCTCTGGCATGAGTGGCCAGACCAAGTTTGTGAACAGAGACATGGCTGGGTATGACCTACAGGAACGGCTGGGAAAGGAATGGATGGCTCAGAGGAAGGGTGCTATAGGCGCTCACTATCTGTGAACAGGTCCTCTCACGTCTCGGACCCAGGTAAGCAGTGTACACCCTAAATCTCAAGACGTCAACCTAACGGTGGGTCATCCCATCATTTGGATGAATTTGGTCCTTAATCTTTTCCATTTTCAAAAGATTCTTTTTAAAAGGCATTTGCCCTTTGGAAAGAAGCTATGATTTCAGTATCAGTTAACATCATAGTATCTAATAGTTTAAAATGTTCTAGGAAACATGAGAATACATTTTCCCCCCGAAAAATGACTCTGTAATCAAACGCATATGAGAAACAGGACAGCTTCCCCTGGTAACCTGCAATGTAATTAGCACTGAAAAGACACTGAGGAGCCCTGTAGTGAAATGAAGCTTTTCAGACCTCTTTAACCACCGATCCTGGTTTCCCCACAGAACATGTATTAAGGTATTTTAAGAAATGAGTGTTCTATAGGACACAGTTTGAAAACAAAATCAATGATTAATAGTAGGGAACAAAAGAGACTACTGAAGTAGAGTACATTAAGAAGCATAAAAGGAAACAAGAAAGCAAAGACAGATATAATTTGTTACAGGCTCCTGGTTTAAAAGACACAGCCCTCAAGTGAGAGTGTATGATTTACTCTGTAATTATTCGTCCCTTTCCAAACAATAGTAACCCCGGGCCCATTTCTGGAGCACTATGAGTTTTCTATACCACTCATTCCTGCCCTATAACCTAAAGAAGCAGAACAAGGCAGAAAGCTAGATATATCATTGGATTTTTAAGTCTCTCCCCATGTATAGTAATGAGAAACTGGAAATGAAAGAACTTAATTAATAGCTGCCCATCTTCATAAATGATCATTTTGATACTAGTGAAACTTAACTTACCAGCTCTGTAATTCAGCAAAAGCCTGTTTCATTTTCTTAATGGAAGCATCCATCTCTTCCTTAACTACAACTCTGTATCGTGCAAGAGACACTGTACAGCGCTGGAGGTCTTTTACAGATTTTTCAATATTGGAACCTTGGGGATAAAATCCAAGTATTAATAGAAAAAGAAACACAGGTAAGTTGAACGTTGAATCTGAAGACCTGAGTGAAATGTTAAATGGACAAGCCTGCTTCCTGTATGGCCACCCTCCCCCAACCAAAAAAAACTCCACATGATGTTTTTATAGATTTTTGAAAAAACAGGTATGCTAGTCAAAATGAAATATTCCATCTTGGAGTATTCTGGTTAAGAACTGGATTTATGGGGCCAGCAGGTGGCATGGTGGTTAAGGTGCTGGACTCCCACATGGAGGACCATGGTTCGAGTCCCAGACCTGGTGGCTAATGTTCTTACTTTTCTCCTCTTTCTCTCTGATCAAATTTTAAAAATAATAATGATTAAATTAAATTAAATTAAACCACTGAAAAAACACACAACATATATGACACAATGGTTTTCAGACAACGGACTACAAATAGTACTTTTATCCTGAGGAATCTGACACAAATGATGTGAGACCTATGATCTGCCTCAAGAGTGTTTCCAGGCTGTGGTGTGGGGAGGAGAGACCCTGAACTGAGCCTGGTGATCTCCTTGGAGTGAGAAGACAGAGTTGAGAAGTCAGGGAAGCCAAGATGTGTACAATTCTCAAGGCAGAGCACTGGAGGGGAGAGAACTACATGAAGGTAAGTAAGAGAGCCAAATGGAGAGCTGCAGGGGGTTCCGACACTCTCCTGTAGGTGTGAGGAGACTACCAAGGCAGAGAAGAACCACCAGAAAGGAGCAGGCGGAACAATCCCCCGAGCCCACTGAGCCCAGGCACCATTTACGCTCACACCAGCTGGAGGGCAAACCCTCACAACTCCATGGCACACCAGGCAGAGTCCTTAGAAAGGAACTGCCTCCGTAACTTTCCTAAGCGTGCCTATTCACCCACCGCCTTTGACTTGCTATTCTGCAGCAAGGTGAGGGCACCAGGGGGAGAAAAAGGAGAGCTTTGCTAATTAAAATTTAGCTCATGTGGAATAAATAATTCAGTAAAGAGCTACAGGTTACCAGTGTCCTTTACATTTCTGTCTCACTTGTTCAGTGCACTGGACCACAATGCTTAGATGTATGACCCTCACTGGGGCTATTATCTGTTTACTTCATTATTGGCTGTTTATTCAGATGATTATTATAGTTAAAAATGGGAGTGAGAGAGAAAAGAGCTACCACCAGTCGATGCTAAGTAATTACTAAAGAGAAAACGATCTTGTCTGGAGTCTGCAGACATTGGTAAGAGCACAAAGTTATGAAGAGGAGTAAAAATATTTCTTTAATATGTCATGTCAGAGATGGAAGAGCTTTTACTTATTGCATCAACCAGCAGATAAAAATGAGGGCAACAGCACAAAAATATTGCAGTAATACAAATAAAAGAAACAAGTTAATGTTAGCAGGTAAGTTGTCTAGGCAGTAGAGTTTGCCTTTACCTCCTAGAAAAAGTCCCTTCCATTGCAATAAGGACCAGTAGATGCCACAATGGTTACATCGCTGGGCTACCACACAGTCAACCATGGTTCGAGACCTGGACCCACTGGCTTGAAATTCACAATGGACATGTTTGCAAGCATGACAAAATCCCAAGGGGAGAATGGAGAAAAAGGGATTGTGGTGTGGCTGTCACCCCTGGGGGGTGATTTCTTGCTCTCTTTCTGTCTTTGTCTCTCTGGTGAGCATATATGCCCCATAGGCAAACTCCCTTAAAAAAAGGACTATAGGGCATCTAAACTCTCACACTCCAACTGTGAACACATAGGTAGGGAAGGGGTGGGCAGTCGCTGCTTAGGAAACTGAAGTATCACCAGAGGCCTTTTTGAAACCTTATCTATGGAACAAAGGGACCCTCTGTCCTCATTATCCAAAAAACAAAGACTTTTCATTCTCTCCCTCTGATTTACCTAGCTTTTTATTGGTGGAGGAGAGCTGAACATCTTCCATCCCCAGACTGGAAAACTGAGGGCCTGCAGATCTTGAGCTGGGTTTGGCGCCATTCCTGGAGTGCTGAGAGTTCTGAGCAGAGTGCACAGTCACAGACTTGCACTCGAAATCAGAGACACCATTCTCCAGCATGGATCCTGTCCAAGAGAGAGGACTGCATTTAGAGCACACTTCAGGGGTAAATCAAACAGTCTTGAGTACCCAGCACAGATAACAATAGTTTAGGCAAAGCCATGCCACTTCAAAGGCTGTGAATAAACTCAATGGACAAAACGGAGCAAAGCTCGGAATTGGCAGGCGTGTGATCAGGAGCTCCCGGTTAGCCCTAAGCAGCGTCCTGAAGGAAGAAAAGGAGTCCTTAGGTAGGAGCTTGGTGGCTGCTTTGCTGCTCTGGCACAAGGAAGCAGTCAGTATTATCAACTTCTGCTAGCTTCCATAAGCCATGCTGAGGGGAAAAAATAAGAGTTTTACACTGTGTCAGGCAAAGAAGAATTTTAAAGGCTTTAGGGGATAGAAGGATAGAGAGGTAAGAAATGTACTACTTCAATAAGCAGCTTAAAACAAAAAAGGAAACCACTGGCAATCATTGGTTTGTCTGAGGTCTGTATAGGTACACTATTTTTCTCTCAATCTTTCACTCTCTGTGTGAACTAATCACTAAAAACATTTAGAAGGCAGCACAATTCTTACACTGGTATTACACTTGTGAAAGCAGAAGTGGTAAGGAAAAGGGAACTGGATTAACAAATAAGTGATTTTTGAGAGATTCTCAGCCCCTCCCCAGCACTCAACAAATCTGTTAACAAAGAAATGAAAAAGATACATAAATTTACAATTAACACTAATCTGAACTCTACTAGAAAACAAATATGAGACTATAAAAGCCAACAGCCTACTTCTCATGAAAGCTAGGATTATAGTAATTATTAAACATTCCATACTGTGCTACTGTGTTGGATCTTAGAATAAAAGTATCAACCTCATTCCATCATTATTGTCTTCCTTAATAAGGCTACAGGTGCTTTTAAAAACATCTTAAAGTCACCTTCTGCAGCCTCTAAAAACTAAGTCCCCTGCCATTAAGTCAGAAGATTTCTACAAGACTGATTTAGACTAAATTATGAGAAAATGGAACAAAAGTTACATTTTTCTGGACCTCTGACAATTATAAAACATGACTCTTTCACATAAAAAGTAACAAAACTTAAAAGGTAAAAGACAAACTGGATTTAATTTACTGATTTCTTTCTCAACCAGGAGGCCCTTCTATTTCTAAACTGAGTGCAACTTCCCAAAGCCCGCGAACAAAATCACCTGTCCTGTCCAGCGTATCTGGGGCGGCAGACTCAGGGTCCTCTGGCTCTCTGGCATCTACGGAAAGTGTCTCCAAACCTTCACTGAGTGAGTCCGCAGACTCAGCGTCGTTGATGGCGCCATTGACGTGGTAGCCGTTAACACCGCCTTTTTCTGAAGAAGGTGCAGACTGCTCCTCTTGGACGGGCATGGATTTGTTCGAATCCGAGACGCTGTTGCTCGCTCCTGCTACGGGTTTTGGTTTGCTCTTCTTCTTTTTGTTCTAAAATTATTAGAGATGTGTGGGGAGAAAAATAGGAAAGGAAGACCCCATCCTCGCCACAACTCAGAAAGATAACTTTAGGGAACCAATGTTACCAATTATTCATGTTCTTCTAGAAATTAAACAAATTTTTTGTTTATGTTGAGCTACTGCATAAAACAAAGTAGTATCAACGTCATTATCTAATAAAAGACATATAAATTAAAACTGCATTGCAAAAGCAGCAGGTGGCATGGTGGTTAAGGCACTGGACTCCCACATGACTGACAACCGTTCAAGTCCCAGACCTGGTAGCTTGAAACATGCCGGGTGCATGCCCAAAATCCTGAGAGGATAAAGGATTGTGGCATCGTCATCCCCCCAGAGGTGATTTTTCACTTTCTCTCTCTCTGTCTCTGTCTGTCTCTCTCTCTCTGGCAAATGCAAAAGCCTTATGACAAAAAACTAAAACTAAAGAAAAATAAAACTGCATTGCAATATGATCTTTCATCTATTAGATCAGCAAAGGTTAAAAAGTATAACACATAGGGCTGATGGAGTTGAGGGTTCAGAGATCAGAGAAACAGGCATTTTCATACATTACTTGTGAGAGGGTAAAATGTTACTCTCTATGACAATGCAGTAATCCTTATCAAAATTACAAATGTACACATGCTTTGACCAACGATTCTACTTCTAGTAATGTATCTTAGAAAAAAGTAACACATAGGCAAAATTTATAAATACACACATGCACGCACGCACACACACGCACACACACACACACACGATTATTCACTGAAATACTATAATTAGTAGCAAAGGACTGGAAACAATCCCAAGACTGATTAACTTGGACTGGTTAAATGAGTTATAGTGGGACCAGCAGATGGCGTAATGGTTATTTGCTGGACTCCCACGTAGTTGACCCAGGTTCTGAATCTTGGACCTGGTGGCTTGAGATTCATGCTGGATACGTGTGTGTGCATGCCCAAGATCCCGAGAGGAGAGTGAAGGAGAAGGGACTGAAGCATGGCCATCCCCCCGGGAGGTGATTTCTTGCTTTCTCTCTATCTCGCTCTGTCTCTCTGGCCTGGTGAATGCACACACCCTTGAGCAAAAACAAACAATCAAACAAAACTCTCCCTAAAAAAAACCAAAATGAGTTATAGTACATCCAAACAGTAGAATGATAATAGGTCACGCAAAAAAACAACAAGAAAGCTCTTTATAGAGCCAGCAGGTGACATAGTTGTTAAGGTGCTAGAGTCTCACATGGCTGACTGTGATTTGGGTCCCGGGCCTGGTGGCTTAAAACCATGCCAGGCACATGAGCAAGCATGCCTATGTGTCCAGAATCTTGAGAAGAATGGAGTAAGGACTGCGGCATGGCCATCCCTCCTAGGGAGGGTGATTTCTCACTTTCCCTCTCACGGCCTCTCTGGCAAGCATACGCACCCTACTGCAAAACAAAACAAAATAGAAATCTCTTTACATACTGAGACATGCAATCAGTTCCAAGATATACTATATGAGAAAAAAATGCAAGTAAAGAGGGACTTATATATCTATATATACTTACATATGTATAAAATATCTTGAAAGATTAATAAGAAATTGATAATATTAAAAAAAGAAAAAAATTGATCATTTGTTTGCCTTGGATGAGAAATCAAATGGCATATGGAACAGGGATGGAAGAAAGATGTTTCAGTGTGCTAACTTTTGTACCTTTGAATTCTGACCCACAGGAATGTATTACAATTATAACATTAAAGTGAGAGCCCTTTGCTTTTTCTTTTGTCAACCCACTATCTCACTAGCAATACTTAACTGTATTCTAAGGCCAAACTGACATGATGGGATCAGCTTTTCCCCAAGTCCTTTCTGTGGTCATCTCTAGCAGGGACACTACTGAACTTGAAGTGTGTCCTATTCACAACTCTCTTCTTTCTTTTTCTTCAATACTTTGTCCCAGGTGAACTGGTCGAGTTTGCTATTACTGTCCCATTTATACAATAACTATCCCAGTAAGTGCTCATAGTCACATCCTACTGGACTGATACCAATAGTTAACTAGATTGGATTTAACATTTGGAACTACCAAACTGAAGTCATTTTTCTCTCTCTCTCTCAAAAAAAAAAAAACGTATTTTAAAATTTGCCAGAGGGCACATGACCTCACCAGAGAGACAAGAAGAAAGCACTCCCCTTAGAACATGACCATACCACAATCCCATCTCCTCTATTTCTCTCTCCTTTTGGGACTTTGGGCACGTATACACATAAACCTGGTGTATTTTTCAAGCTGCTGGGTCTAGGACCCAAATTGTATGGTCAGTCATGTGGAATCCAGCTCTGTTAACCACCAGGTCATGAGCTGGCCTTTTTTTTTTTTTTTGGAGAGGTTTTTGCTATAGGGCGTGTGCGCTCGCCAGACAGACACAGAGACAGAAGGCGAGAAATCACCCCCCAGAGGGGATGGTTATGCGGCAATCCCTTCTCCTCCATTCTCCTCTCGGGATCTTGGGCACGCACACCACGCACCTGGCGTGAGTTTAAAGCCACCGGGTCCGGGACGCAAACCATGGTCGACTACGTGGGAGTCCAGTGACATAGCCATGATGCTAATTGCTGGTTCCCATGAGCTGGACTTTTAAGAAATCCTTTAATATATATACTTTTTTTAAATAAAAAAGAATGATTTATTTTATCTATTCATTCATTTATTTTAATTTGACCAGAGAGAGACACAGAGAGAGAGAAAGAAAGTCAGAAAGCAAGCCAATAGGTCCGGGACTCAAACCATTGTCAGTCATGTGGGAGTGTCCAGTACCTTAACCACCACACCACCAGCTGGCCCCCAAATACATATACTTTTAAGAAATTTTTAAAAATTCCTTAATTTTTAGAAATTCTTTAATACGTACACTTTTACAGTTTCATGTGTATCTTATATCACTAATGACTTATAATCCTGGGCTAATAAATTAAGGAACTGGCATTTTTCAGAACTCTCACAGTGGGACCAACAGATGGGATAATGATTATGTCACTGAACTCCCACGTAGTTGACCGCAGTTCAAGTTCCGTGTCCCTCTATAACAGGGTGCGTGTGTGTGTGTGTGTGGGGGGGGGAGGGCCAAAATCTTGAGGGGAAAATGGATGATAAGGGATTGCAGTGTGGCTGGGGGAAGAGGGTTCTCGATGTCTGTCTCTCCGGCAAGCGCACATGCCCTAGAGCAAAAATCTCTCTCTCTCAAAAAAAAAAAAAAAAAAGAAAGACAGAAAGAAAAAGAACACTCATAGCAATCTATATTAGATGAAAGCAGTGGGAAAAAGTTAAACAGATATTCAACAAGTATATGGGCTGGTTCCATACACAGCTCAGTGGCTAAAGGAGCTGAATCTCACATGGCCAACAAACCATGGTTTGAATCTTGGCCCTGGCTAACTGAAGAACATTTCAGCCATGTGCATGTGCATGCCCAAAATCCTAACAGGAAGGAGGAATGAAGGAAAAAGTATTATGGTATGATTATGATTCTCTTTCTCTGGTGAGGGCATGTACCCTATAGAAATAATAATCATAAAAACTACAGGTATAGAGAGTTTCAGGAGAATCTGTAGTAGTATTAGGTACCCCTTGGAAACAATTCTCAAAGGTCACTGAGACCAAGTATGGCTGAGTCAAGATCTGCTAGACTCCTAATGAAGTAATTTCATAGAGCCACTTGATAAAAATCCATACATCAAGAACTTCCTGGAGCCACCAGGTAGCATGGTGGTTAAGGCGCTGGACTCCCACATGGTTGACCATGGTTCAAGTCCCACACCTAATGGTTTGCTTTCTCTCTCTCTCTGTCTGTCTCTCTCTGGTCAAACTGAAGGAGAATAGAGACCAGCAGATGGTGCAGTGGTTACATCACTGGACTCCCACATGGCCGGCTATGGTTCAGTCCCAGACCTGATGGCTTCAAACTCACGCTGGGCACGTGTGTGTGCGTGCCCAAACTCTTGAGAGGAGAAAGGATAAGGGATTGCAGTGTGGTCAACCCCCCTAGGGAGTAATTTCTTGCTTTCTCTCTCTGGCAAGTGCACACGCTCTGTAGCAAAAATCTCTCTGAAAAAAAAAAGGAAAAAAAGAAAAAAAAATGGAATAACAATAATATATGAAATTAAATGAATTTTAAAAATCAAATATAATCTATAAATCTTTTTTAAAAAAATTCCTAAAGGGGCTACATTTAGGGTGTGGGAAGAATTATCTGGTAGGATCCTTTGGGAAAAGGTTGGTTTTTTTCCCCCTAATTTACCAGAGGCCATGTATGCTCTGGGGAAAGCTTTTTCTTCTCTTTTTTCTTAATTTGCCAGAGGCGGTGTGTACTCACCAGAGAAACAAAGGGAGAAACAGGAAAGTGAAAAAACACTTTCCCTGGAGAATTGTTACACCATAATCCCTTCTCCTTCATGTTATGCACAATCCAAGCGTGGGACTTGAACAATGCTGTTGGCCATGTGGGATCCGTATCATGTAACCAACAGGCCAAGGGCTAGCCCACATTTTGGTCTTAAGTAAACAAGGAGAAGGAAACAAGAACTGATACTGGGCTTTACATTTATTAGAGATGAACAACGATTAAACCATACTCTCGGTCACAAAGGCAACACATGGTGCAACAGGGCAGTAATCTAATTCTTGCCGACTGCACAGCCCACATGATTCCTACCTCACTAAACTGGAACATCGGACCCTGTGCATCGGAACCAACAGCTATAGCAGCAAAGGCCCTCTCCAGGCTTTGCATCATAGCTCATTAAAATCAGGGACTACAACACAGTTGTCTGATCTAAACTTGGAACTGTTTTAACTGATGTGGAATAAGAATGCTGTTGAAAGGACCGGCAGTTGGCGTAATGGCTATATTGCTGGACTCTCATGTAGTCGACTGCTGTTTGAGTCCCGGACCCGGTGGCTCAAACTCACACTGTGCGTGTGTGCATGTGTGCCCAAGATCCTGAGAGGAGAATGGAGAAGGAATTGTCATATGGCCATCCTCACCCCCTCCGGAGGGGGGTGATTTCTCGCTTTCTGTCTCTCTCTCTGTCTTTCTGGTGAGTGCACGTGCCCTACAGCAAAAACCTCTCAAAAAAACAACAACAAAAAAATGCTGCTGAAAACCCCAGGACTAGATAGATCACTTTCTCTGGAGGAGCTCTGCTTTCCTTGGCACACTCTCTTGTTGTGCCCTTCTAGAATCCCCTTAGCAACAGCACCATGGCGAGTCATTCTGCTTCCTGCTTTAAATCACATGCAGGAGACTGTGAAACTGAGACACAGTTGTGTCTCAAAGTCAAAGATGATGTTTTTAACCAGGTAAACTAAGGATGTACATGTAAGCCTTTTCCTTCCAATATTGTTGTAGAGCCTAAACTTTTAAAAATAATATAAACAACAGGCTGGTTCTGTGATACTGTGATAATGTACCGCTCAAGAGAAGCTGGATCCCACATGGCGACTGTGATCTGAATCCCCGGCCTGGTCAGCCTTAAACATGCTGGCACGTGTGTGAGTGCTTAAGATCCAATAGGCTGGAGAAAGGAGGTCATGACATGGCCAGATCCTATGGGTGATCCTCCCCCCCACCCCGTCACTCTTCCTCTCTCTCTCTCTCTCTTTCTCTCATTTTCACATGCATGCACTTTATCAGGTATAAAGAAAAAAATATATGAACATCAACATTTTCTTTTTCTTTTTTTGGGAGAGGTTTTTGCTATAGGGTGCATGTGCTCGCCAGAAAGACAGAGAGAGACAGAAAGATAGAAAGTGAGAAATCACCCCCAGGGGGGATGGCCATGCCGCAATCCCGTCTCCTCCATTCTCCTCTCGGGATCTTGGGCACACACGCACACACGCCCGGCATGAGTTTAAGCCGCTGGGTCCGGGACTCAAACTGCGGTCAACTACATGGGAGTCCAGCGACATAGCCATTACACTAACTGCTGGTCCCAACATTTTCTTTTTTAGGTGTTTGCCATAGGGTGCATAAACTCACCAGAGACAAAGAGGAAAGTGAGAAACCACTCTCCAGGAGAGATGGCCACATTACAATCCCTTCTCCATTTTCCTCTTGAGATCCTGGGCATGCATTCACAAGTGCCCAGCATGATTTTCAAGTTGCCAGGTCCAGGCAGGTCTTCAACCATGGTAGGCCATGTAGGAATACACTGCCTTAACCACCATACCACTTGCTAGCCCCCAAAATTATGCTTTTAAGTATAATTCATTTTTTACCTTTTTCTTTCCTGTTACTGTCCATTCTTTGAGTACTTCACTGGCACTACCTGTAAGAGAAACCAATTTCAGATTTTCTCTATCTTATTACACATATATTCAAGCAGGAATCAGTATCTCTGCATTTTGTAATTGCTGGAGAGTTTCCAAATCTCCTTATAGAAAACATTAAGAATCAAGTCTCTGATGTAACACAATGAAATAATCATGCCATGCTTCCTTTTTGGAATATCAGTCAATTTAGATCTCCCCTTTCCACGTACTGACAATTTCCTCAGTGAGTTCTTCAACAAAGAGACTAGTAGCCTAGCCACACTGAAGAGTCTTTCATCTATCCATTTTAAACCAAAGATGTCTGTTATCAGCCTAAATGTGCCATCCCCTCCCTGCCAGCTTGCACACCGCCTTGGCTACATTGCTTGGGCATAATACCCCAAACCCAAACACTAAGATGATAAAGAAAACCAATGAAGACAAAGAAAAAACATATAGCATGCACACCTGTTTACAGATTAGCAAATTCCAGAAAATGGAAGCAGGGAGACCGTAACATTGCCATTCAATGACGTAGTAGCTTTAGGTAATGTTTTTCTCAAATCAGTTATGCAGAAGGAAGTTTGTAAACTATCCCTCAACTCCATCAATCTGGAGGCTTGGCTAAGTCTGCCTTCATGTTAGATAAGCACACTCTAACCCACATATCTGAGTCAGTTCCCAGAGTCAAACTAAACCTAGAGCCTGGAAGAGAACGGTGAGTCATTAAATTTGCCACCTGTTGCTAGGCCACTGAATCACTACTTTGTTATTAAGAGTCTCTTTGATGTTATTCAACCCTGTTTCAATCAAGTTCCTTACACTGCAGGCCACATGATTTCTTCTTAATTACCATTACAGAATATTTTGAGTAAAATGAGGGAGTTTCTCAGCTTGTCTCTAATTCGGATATCACACAGCTTTTAAATGAACTGTTTGTAAGGCTGAAAGAGGCATCTTCCATTAGAAAAACTTCATGGCTTGTTACTGATATATTATCATAAGGGTCTGTTGGCTCATCCAAGAACAACTGGATTGCTGAGTGTAATGAAAGTTCAAAGTGACTTCTATTTGAACAAATATAAACTTATTTTAATAACTGAGTGAGGATTACCTTCCATGAAAGCTTGTACAGTTTTGTCCACACAATTATCAAAGTGCTGCAAAACCAAGATGATTTCATTGTTGCTCTTATTGGGAACTATGGCACGCACTGCATTTATCTGGAAAAGATGACACAGTCATTTAATTCTAACGTCAGTAGAATCACTAGGCAGCTGAGACCTATTACACAGAATAATGGAAAGAGTAACATTTCATTTTTAACAATATGTACCACTCCTTTGTGTCAGTGAGAACACATTAAACATCTCACTGTGAATCATTAATAAATGAGTGATGAAAACACACGAAAAACCTCAAAATTTAGAAAAGTAGAACATTTCTAGAAATAGAAGGTATGTAGTAGCTTTCGTATTAAGAATGGTTTAATTGAGGTATTGGGCATTAATTTTGCTTTTAAATTTACTATAGTATGTATGTGCTTGAGGGGGCGCAGGGAGAAGAGAGCTAGCACCCCCCAGGGAGAGTGGCCACACTGCAATCCCTTCTCCTCTAGGGATTGTGGGCACACAAGGCACATGCGCCTGGCTTTTCAGGCTGTTAGATTCAGGACTCGAACCACACAGCCACTCGAACTACGTAGCCAGCAGCCTTAACCACTACACCACTGGCTGGCCCTCAGTATTAGCTTAGCATCACTATTTCCTCACTATTAGCATAACATCGAGAAAGGTGGAAAGTTTAATGAACCACCAATAATGACGATTTAGGTTTTTATGTAACATTTTTCAAAACATTGTTATTTATCATTAAATTGTATAACAACTCTATAATTTACAGAGACAATCTGAATGGTTGAAAACTATTTGGCATACTAACCATGAGCACCTAACTACACAATGCCCAGTTTAACAAAACAAGTACAACTGAAGTCTCATGAATGCCTAACAGTACGTTTCCCTTCTTTCCCTTCTTCTCTCCTGAATTTGGTGTTATTTTGACATATTAAAAAAAATATATTTTGGGAACCAGCAGTTAGCGTAATGGCTATGTCGCTGGACTCCCACGTAGTCGACCGCGGTTCGTGTCCCGGACCCCGTGGCTTAAAACTCACGCCGGGCGCGTGTGCGTGCATGCGTGCCCAGGATCCCGAGAGGAGAATGGAGGAGAAGGGATTGCGGCGTGACCATCCCCCCTGGG